AGCGAAACGTTGACGTTTGCCATCTTCGCCTGCTCGTAGCTACGCAATCCATCACCGCTACGGAGTACTGGAGTAGCCCCATTTTTCCTCTCTCTCTCTCTCTCTCTCCATTACCAGCGTGCAAGTCCCCCATCGCAAAGGCAGAGTACCCACCCCACTCCCAGCAGCAAGTTTAACCGGGACCGAATGAGAGAAAGTGGACCTCACAAAGTTGCCAAGTTGCTTCAGACGACTTATCTTTGTCAAAAACCATTTTCTTTTATCTTATACTGCGTTAAAAGTACGCGTGTACCCCCTTGCCCCGACCGACCGACCGACCAACCGACCAAACGACCCAGGCTGGCGGGAACCACAACGTCCCCGATAATGGATAGAGGGCGGTCGTTTGAGCTCTTAATCCAGTAACCAGTGGGCATGCATGGCATGGCATAAGCGCGATCAAGTCGCAAGACAAAACGACGGGTGTAACAAGGCTGTTGAGGCGTGCGTACGTAGGCCGGCAGTGGCAGGACGAGACAACGAGGACGAGCAAGACAAGGCAAAGCAAAGTAACGCAAAGAAAAAGCAAGGCTATGCTAAGCCTACGCTAAGCTGGGCGCAAATCAGGAGTGGGTAGGGGAGCATAGTAACATAGTAAACATACACGGTGATATTCGTATTGGGGAGATGTCTGTTATCTCGAGTCATGCATGCATACATTACCGTGACGGGGAAAGGGATAGATTTACTCAGTCTCCAGCGTCGTTGTCTGTCGCAGATACATAGTGTGCGGGAGAGAGATTGCTGTTTGCTGTTGCTGGCTGCTGGGTAGAGTGCTGGATTGCATGGATGGATAGATCAGCCAGCCAGATAGATAGTATAGTTTCCTCACTCCAGCATTAGAACTGGATTGAAATACCCCAAATGAAAGTACAAAAGTCCTTACAGGGGAAAGAAAAGAAAAATGAAATTCCCTTGGGACATGTATGTGCAATTCGCCCTTGTAAGCCCTTCTCAATCTACCCAGTAATCCAGTCAGTCGTCTACTTGGTAGTAAGACAAACCCCTCTGATTCATGATAAGTCTCCCCGACGCCATAGCGGGCAAATGTTCATTGTTACACAGTGTTACGTTCCACTATCACGTCATATCATGTCATATCCATCTCTGCCCATCCCCGTTCCCGTTCCCACTCCCATACCGTCCGTCCCCTACTCCGTCGGCCACACGGCCGTTGGAAGCCGCCAACTTCGCCGCCATGGCCTGCAACTTCTCCATCTCGCGCTTGACCCCCTCGCGGTCGTAGGGCAGGTTACTCGCCGACTCACTCGGGGTGAGGGACTCGTGTCTCTGCCCGGCGAAGACGCTGCGCATGGGGCTTAATGTCGACGGGGGGATTTCAGCCGATTGGTATCCGTTGATGATCGAGGAGACGGTTCGTGAGCGGGCTTCGGTGTACCGATGAGACGTGGGCCGGAGGGTCGGGTGGATGTGTGCGAGCTCAGGTGCGGGCAGAGACACTGGCGCAGGAGAGGCGGGGGCAGGGAAGCGGGAGAATTGCGGCCCTGGTGGTGCTTGATCTTGTTCATCCAGTTGAGGAGCAGGAGGAGGAGGTGGTGGTGGTGGTTGTTGTTCTGTCCTCGGCTCTAGCGCAAACCCCTCGATGCCAGTGAATTGACTTGTTCGTGCACTCTCGGGAAACGGATCGACTTGCTCCCTGAACAGATGCACGGGCTTCTCATCCCGAGACGTCTCGTTCCCGGGAATGATCGGGTGGAAGAACGGGTTGTGCGTCACGGCCTGGCCGTACGTTGGAATCTCAGTTCCGCTGTCCCTGAGGGTTGACAATGTTTGGCGGAACGGCATGAGACCCGGGGGAGAGCCTTGGGGTTGGACTTCGGCAACGGCAGGGGGAGAGGCGTAATTGAGGATTCGGGCTTGATCACCGGAGCCCTCCCCAAACGGATCCCCGTATGGCTCACCGCTTTGCACGCCGTCTTGCCGACGTCGACGACGACGGCAACAGCATACGAGAGTGTAGTACAGGACAGTGCCGAGGCATGCGGCGCCGATGATGGAGCCCAGGCCGATGGCGGCGATGCTCGTGGCGGAGAGGGGGGTGGAGGATGATTCTGAAGAGACAATCGCTGGTGTAGGGACGGCTGAAGTAGTGGAAATTGGGTTGGAGGAAGTCGGGATGATTGATGTATCGAGTGTCGTAGCCGCTGATGTTGGGACTGTTATTACACTCTCTGCGGTTATCGTCGGGATTGCACTTGTTTGGACAGACGACTGTGCAAGAGTGGGAGTTGGTAGAGTCGTTGAGGAGAGAGCTTGCTGACTCGACGTTTGCGTCGGGGCAGCGCTACTAGGTTGGACAGCGTCCACTTGATCCTCATCCTCATCATCGCTTTCGTCAAGGTCGTCTTCACTGTCCAAGCCATCGTCACTTTCGGAATCGGACTCTTCTTCCACGGGGGGAATGGCTGTGGCTGCTGGCGGGGTTGACACCATCTCTGTGGAAAGCTGTCTGCGAGTTTTCATCTTGCTCGATCGCTTGGAATGATTGTTCACTCTGGGTTTGGTCTCCATGATGTAGGGTATTTTGATCTCAGCGTGAAGCAGTCTTCACGTCGGTGCTCGACCACAGTTGATGAAAGCAAGGAGCAGAAAGGGACGAGAAGCCAAGGGCGTAGGCGTGTACGAAAATGAGAATGAGACATGAAGTCTCGCAGCTCGATATACATACTGACTCTCCAAGTGTTATCGCCCGTTTGGGCACCTCGCCACCTCCTGTCGATGAGAGTCCATCGAGCAGCAGAACCGCCAAAGGGGTGGTCGGCCGACCGTTTCAGATACGACGAGTTGGGGAAGGTGATGGACGAATCCCACTTCTGGACAAGTCAAAGTTCGACAGGCTGTGACGCTGTGACGGACTTGGCGGGTTTCATCCCTGCAGAGCAGCGGATAAGACACACGAAGTCGTCTTGGCGGAGGGACACGTACGGGTGCCTCCCCCAGTGCCAAGCTTTCCGGGCTCCGCCCCGGATGGTCTTAAGCGTCAAGTAGAGTGGACCAAGGGGGACTAGTTTGTATTTAGATGCACTAGCGCGTCTACCCCTGGCCGATTGTAACTGCTCAGTAGGTATCTTCAACTGTGCTTGAGACTGCAAGTACTCGTAGCGACAACTTGTCACCACTCTCGTCCCTGAATTGATCACAGCTTTCTATCGACGTTGCCAGGCGTATTCTCTATCTCCAACCTATGGCCTCGACTCGCTGAGTGGGGTCTTCTAGTGAATACCCGCTACAGGAAGGGACATCTCAGAGCGACGGAATTCAGTGGTTGTCACATTCTGACCAAGGTATGTGGTAGTGTTGCTGAGGACCAAGTTTCCTTCTGATAGATACACTGTTCATCGCGCTGTCTGCTCTCGGGACTCGGCCACGCCGGCGTCCAGAAGTCCCTGTGACATTGAGACGGGAGTTGCAATCCTGTTCAAAATGCAGCTTCCCCCGCATTACGGCGCAGCCGGCACAACAGGAGCCCGTGGCTCTGGAATGACAATCATGACAAATCCTCAAAGGTCTTCGCTCGAGAACCTCCGTCTACCCGATGAGATATATTCTAAGGACTTGAGAGGAGCGGGATTCACCATGTTGCCATCCTCTCTTGAGTCGAACCACAATTGGGCAATATCACCCTCGTCTAGAGCAAGGTGAGCCCCTACATCTTGCCCTGATGTCGGCAGATCAGCCTGTCCTGGCAGAATTCACTGCTCAGTTCCATCATGCCCCTTACCCAGCCATATCGCCGTTGCGGCCAGAGCTTTCAACCACTGGTAAGGTCGTGGTCGTGACCGGCGCGGCCGGTGGAATCGGATCCGCCATGTGTCGAGCATTCGTCCAAGCGGGTACAAAAGACTTGGTCCTGATCGATCTCAATCAGACGGGCCTCCTCAAACTCAAAGCCGAGCTTGAGGACCAGGGCAAGTCGAGGATCCACCCTCTGGTGCTCGACATCACCAAGACACCGGCGGTCCGCGAAGCCTTCAACACTGTCGAAGCTGTGGCGGGGAAGATCGACGTCCTGGTCAACAATGCCGGGTATCAGAATCTCAACAAGCCACTCCTCGACATCGACATTGACGAGTGGTTCAAGTGCTTCGACATCAACGTCAAGGGTAGCTTTCTCGTCGCGCTCGAGTTCCTGCGGCACTGCAAACCCGACGCTGTCTTGATCAACATCTCGAGCGTCTTGGCGCATTACGGCGTGAGACGGGGCTATTGCACAGGACACAGCGGCTACTCGGCGTCCAAGATCGCCATTACAAAGGCCATGGACATTATCCAGGAGGAGCTCCCCACCGTGCGGATCGTCAACATGCACCCAGGCCTGGTAGCCACGGCCATGTCGGCGAAGATAGGCAATACCGCTTTTTCTGTGGATTCGGGTAGGGGATCTTTCCATCAGTGCTTCCATTCGAGGGACACCCGCTAACTTAGCACTCAAAAAACAACAGTCAATCTGCCCGCCCATTTTGCAGTCTGGCTCGCGAGTCCCGAGGCCGAGTTTCTGAGAGGTCGGCTAGCATGGGCTAACTGGGATGTGGAGGAGATGAAGTCGAGGAAAGACGAGATCGTGGAGAAGGATCTTTTGCGTCTCGAGCTGACGGGCATATGATGGGTGTCGTCTCCTCACCCGGTCAATAGGTAATTTCAAGTTTCCCCAACGCAGCTATCCAAAGCCTGGAGAGGAGGACGGCATTGTACAACGCCGCACATGAATTGTCCAAGCACCTTTGACTGGCTGTAACGGTACAAGAAGAGAGCTAGGTAAATGAGCCAATGAGTATATCTTTGAATTCCATCTAGAGTAAAAGGTTTACCTCTTCGGTATACCAGTCGTGACGGTGCACCATGTTTATCTCCATGCTGTGATTGAGAAACTCTTTTCACCAGAATTTCTGTTGGAACCTTCTTCTTATCCTCCCCGTCGAGAAAAAAAAAAAACAGTAAACATGCCTACCGCTGCCCAGGCCTCGCGAAAACCGCGGCTCATGTTCCACGTGACGTTCCACGTCGCCGACGCCGACGCCGACGAGTTCCTCCGACACCTGCGCACGACGTTCGAGGCCGTCACCGCCGAGCCCGAGTGTCTCTTCGTCGACACGTACTGGGACCCGCGCCACCACGGGACGATACGGATCGTCGAGGAGTGGGCCTGCGACAGGGAGTGGTTCGTCAACGTGCAGATGCCCAAGAAGTACTACGACGCGTACCGCGCGGCGACCGAGGACATGTACATCAAAGAGCGTGAGTTTGTGACAAATCCCCCCTCCCGGCTCTTTTCTACCGGGTTTTGGTTTAGATTCTCGGTCGGCTATGAGGTTCTCTAACTGTTTGTTGACTTGACGGGATTTTTTCTAGGCACGGTCGAGGATTGGGAGCGCATTCCCGGATGGTGGAGACAGAAGCCGGATTATCAGCCCGAGTGAGTACGAGGTACAGAGAGAGGGCTTTTGGCAGGAACTCGGAGAAGGATGGAATGAGGTCCTTTGACCAGGATAATCTACCTTGACTGAGGGAGGGGGTTGTTAGCAAGTGTCCCGTCGTCATGGTCGAAAAAGGGAAAAAGGGAAATTCATAGAGAGGAAACCCAGATCCTATTCCATACTTGTAACTCCCTTCACAGACGATGAGATACCACAGCCGTCTACTCTACTCTACTCTACACGTCAAAGCCCGACTTCCCCGGCACCACCCCATACGCGGCACTCGACTTGCCAAACATGGTGCGCAAATCCCCGACCAACACCTCTGGCAACTCCCACGCGGCAAAGTGTCCACCGGTTTCGTGCTCCTCCAAAAACACCACCGGTCCCATGGCCTTGACCCAGACCTTCGGGAGCAGGATGATCTCCTTGGGGAAGCGGGAGTAGCCCAGAGGCACGTCGATGTAGCGCTGGACCTCGACGACGGCTTCTTTCGAGGGAAACCCTGCCTTGGGCGTCCGGTGCGTCTTTTCGTAGTAGATGCGCTGCGAGGCCGCGGGACCCGCGGTCGAGAAGTAGTAGATGCTGATCCAGGTGAGGGCCTCGTCGTCGGTCCAGGCGTACCCGTCGGTCCAGTCGTGGAGCTTCTCGTAGATCCACGCCAGGAGAGACACGGGGCTCGCCGTGATGGCGTAGCCCGCCGTCTGGGGCTTGGTGCTGTGCAGGAGATTGTAGCCGAAGCCTTCCTCGCGGAACCAGCGGGAGCGGGCGAGCCCGGCCTTTTCGTACTCGGTCAGAGGAGTCGCCTGGAACTGGGCCCAGAGTGCCGGGTGGGAGGTGGCCGTGATCTCGGGCGGGTGGCACATGTTGACGTGCTGCGCCTTGCATGACTCTGGGTACAGCATGGCCAGGAAGCGAGTGACAAAGTAGCCCAGATCTCCTCCTTGCGACACTTTGGAGAGGAGAGTCAATGACGGTGTTCTCAGCACGAATTTTTGGTATGGGCTTACCGTATTCCTTGTATCCCAGCTTCAACATGAGTTTATGGGCCACCTCGGCATGCTGCTCGAATTGGAAGTTTGCCTAGAGTCGCAGTTCATAGTGTGAGCACACAAATTGTCCCATCCATTGTATATCATGCATGATCCCATGGGCAAAATGGCCAACCTTTTTCGCCGCAGAAGAAAACCCATAGTCGACCATACTGGGGACGACGACGTGGAACGACGGCGCATCATCTCCCCCGTTGATCAGCAGGGGGAGGATCTTTGTGACTTCTGCAAAACTCCCTGGCCACCCGTGGCAGAAAAGCAGAGGGATGGCATTCTTGACGGGACTCTGTTGGTGGACGAAGTGGATGTCGTAGGTGCCGAACCCGTCGACGTCGATCTGGGTCATGAACTGAGGCAACTCGTTCAGCTTTGCCTCTTGTTTCCGCCAGTCGAAGCCGTCCTGCCAGTACGCGGCGAGGCGCTTCAGGTCGGCCAGGGGTGTGCCTCTGCTCCAGGGCTCGACGTCGGGCAGCTCGTCCGGGAAGTCGGCGAGGGCGAGTTGTTGTTTGAGGCGCTGGATCTTTTCGTCGGGGATGTTGATCTTGTATGGTGTGATGGGCGACATTGCTTCGTAGTTTCTTCTTTGATTGAGTGAGTGCGTTGTACTCCTGTCAAGTCCAGTCACCCAGCAAATCCTACCTCTTCACGAACCTTTTGTAATCTACAAACATCGGAGGTCAGCAAAACACTATACGCAAATACATCAACCACCAACGACATCTCAACCCGACAGAGATACTCAAACCAGGCAAACGAAAATACGCCGCGTCCAATAACGAATCATCACGCGTCATTCAACAAATCGCGTCTAATCATACCGATACCCTAGCCCCTCTCGATCTGCCATGGTCAATGCCGCGGGTTTCGGCGTTGGCAAAGACCGTGATTTATGAGAAGAACAAATTCCACCACCACATCGACTGTTGATTGCGACTTCCGACCAAACTCGAGGGGAAAAAAATGCGAATTACACGTCTCGTAATAGTATCCGATATGGCTAGCAGCTGGAGTCCCATCCCATCCTGTCCAACGTGACTGAGCTGGTTTCTTCCACATGGATCTTTTTGTCGTTTGATTTCAAATACACCCACCTTTTGTCCGACAATGGGTCCTTTTGGCTCATGACATAGCAATATCAGAGGGAAAGTACTTTTGCATATTCCATACATTCAAGATCCAAGCAGAACCCTCTCTTTCTTCAGGGCTTGCTCGCGCTACTAAACCACAGTCTTCTCTGATCTCTAGTAGCACCACCAACCTCAGACCATCCATTACAAGACCAACTTCAAACTGACCAACGGAAATGCCTTCGGAAGAATGCCCCCAGATCATCTTCGGGGCCGGGTTCATCGGCAACGCGGACCCGTTCGTCAGCGACGAGGGCCTCAAAGCCACGTATGACTTGATCGCCCAGTACGGGATCACGCGGCTCGACTCGGCGCAGCTGTACGGGGAGAGCGAGCGACGGCTGGGCGAAACGAAAGCGGGCGAGAGGTTTTCCATCGACACAAAGTGGTTGATGGGGTGGAGTCCCGGGTTGGCGACGAAGGAGGGAATCGTCGCCGGGGCGAAGGAGAGTTTGAAGAAGATTGGATGCGTGGTAAGTCGTGCGCTTTCCATGATACGCGAGAGAGAGAGAGAGAGAGAGAGAGAGAGAGAGAGAGAGAGAGAGAGAGAGAGAGAGATCTTGGGTGCAACCTCCAAAGGCTAACTCACCCAAAACCCATTACTAGGTCGACGTCTTCTACCTCCACTGCCCCGACGTGACGGTCCCGCTGGAATCAACCCTCGCGGGCGTCCACGAAGCGCACCAACTCGGCCTGTTCAAACGGTTCGGCCTATCCAACTACCCCGCCGCCGACGTGCTCTGGATCCACAACCACTGCAAAGCCCAGGGATACATCCTCCCCAGCGTATTCCAGGGCAACTACGCGGCCGTGGCGCGCAAGCTTGAAACGTCTTTGTTCCCGACGCTGCGCGACCTGGGCATCGCCTTCTACGCCTACTCCCCCGTGGCGGGGGGCCTGCTGACCAAGACGAAGCAGCAGATCGTGGACGGGGCGGGCCGGTACAACACCAACTTCATGAACGGCATGTACGACCAGATGTACCTGAAGGAGTCGTACCTGCAGGCTTTGGGGGAGTGGGAGGACATCGCACGCGAGCAGGGGTGTTCGCGCGCCGAGCTCGCGTACCGCTGGGTCGCCTACCACAGTGCGCTGGACGCAAAGTGCGGCGACGGCGTCGTCATCGGCGCGAGCAAGTTTGAGCAGATCGAGCCGACGCTGCAGGGGTTGCGGAGGGGGAAATTGACCGAGAGTGTGGTGGAGAGGGTCGAGAGGGTGTGGGAGACGGTCAAGCACGATGCGCCGACGGATGCGTTTGCAAAGTAGATCCAGCCAACAGAATGGCAGGGTATGGGGCTGGTTACATTACAGGAGTGGAAGAGTCGAGATCTAGAGGAGATGGGAGACATAGAGAGATAGAGAGACATGGCTAGATACTTTGCACATTTGCATAAAAAGACGAATAGATTTTTTGATAGTCGCTTCTTAACATACGCTCTCCTCTCTCTCTCCTCTCCTTCCCTGGCCCCCCCTCTGTGTCTGTGTGTCTCTGTGTGTCTGGATCTATTTCACCATCCCATTCACATTCACATTCCCACTCACCTCACCGGCCCTTATCCCGCGACAAAATCGTTTTGAGAACATGTATCAACACGTCCGCCGGCTTCTCCACGGGCCCGAAACTCCGCCACGCGATAAACCGGTCCGGTCTGACGAGGATGCAGCCGTCCTCGTCGACCTCCCTGACCCGCTCCCAGTCGAGGTACATGTCCTCGTAGTCCTGCCTCCAGCCGATCGAATACGCGACCAGGGGAATTCCCAGCACCGTGGCCGCATCGGCTGCGGCCGTCTTCCACGCGTCCCCGCCGATGCCTGTGAGGAGGGTGAACCGTCCGTGGCCGACCAGGTCGAGCAGCGGGATCGGTGTTTCGGGGATGGGCTTGTTGAGCCAGACGTGCGGCAGACGTGAGCCCGGGTACGTCGACTTTGTGTGGTCGAGCACGGGGTCGCCTTCGAACGAGGGCATCGGGCCTTGGTCGATTTGGTAGACGGCCGATGACTGATAGCGCTGGTTCATCTCGATGCCCAACCCCTGATACTCGAACCGGGTCCCCTGGACTGCCTTGAAGAACGCTTTGCGCCGCTCTCGGCCTTCGGGCGTCGCGTCGACGAGTTTCCCGAATTCGGCGACGCGAGTCGCTGCGTCGGGGGCCAGGATTCCCGCCGCTTTCCACAGAGGGAGGTGGTCGAGGTAGCCTTGGAATGCTCTACATCACGCATCACGTCAGAACGGTTGATGCCCCAGGAAAAAAAGGAAATGGGGATCGGAGGGTCAGGACCATACCGGTCAACAATGGCTTCGCCGACAGGTTGTCGTTCCTTGTCATACGATTCGAGCAACTCGGGCCCAGCGAGACCTTTTTGGGCACAAGTCAGTCACGCTGTTCTGAGATTCGGGAACGCGAAAAACCCCACCTTTTAGAACGTATGCAATCTTCCACGCCAGATTATACGCGTCCTGGATACAGGTGTTGCTCCCCAGACCATTTGAGGGTGGATGGCGATGGACGGCGTCGCCGAGACAAAAGACGTTGCCGCTCGAATACTTCTCGGCGACGATGTCGTTGATCATCCACTTGGAGACGTTGAGGATCTCGACGTCGACCGCGTCGTCGCCAATCATCTGCCTGATGCGCTTCATCCACTGGTCGTGCGTGGGCGGCGGGTTGGGCTGGTACCCCTGGACGGGGAACATGATGAAGACCCATTCGTGCCACGGCTTGACCATGCGCGGGAACCCGATCCAGGCAAAGTCCGGGTGCTCCAGGTCGTGCTGGTAGCACCAGTGCAGATTCCCCTTGCGGTTCTGGATGTGCTTGCTCAGGTCGGCCTTCACGAGCACGTTCCACGCCAGGCCGCCCCCGGGCTTCTGCTTCAGCGGCAGGCCCAGCTGTGCGATGATCTTGCTGCGCGCGCCGTCGGCCCCGAACAGGTACTTGCACCGGATGGTGTGGAGGGTGTTGAAGACGAGGTCCTTGACCAGCACGTCGACGTACCCTCGCGCACGGTGGTCCTCGAAACTGACAAATTCCGTGTTGAAGCGGCAGATGAAGCCGCTGGTCGTCGCCTTGCGGATGAGGATCGGCTCCAGGTGCGTCTGGGGGAGGTCGATCGGGTCGCAGGGACTGGCGTCCTTGTATTTGCCTTCGATCAGAGGACCGTTTCCCCACGAGTAAAGTCGCGCGTACTCCTCGCCGGCCATGCTGTACCCGAATCTCGTGTGCATCAGGCTGTCTTTGGGGCTGGCCAGCTTGCGGCATTCGTCCTCAACACCAACGTCGCGGAGACATTCTAGTTTTCCAGCATCACATTAGCCCCTCAGGAGTTGGATAATTGTATCTTTCCAGGAGAAGATGACCGTACCCATCGCTGCCATGTTTGTCAAATGGGCCCGCGGCGTCTCTGCCGTTGTAGACGTCGCGCCAACAATGATTCCCTTGATTCCTAACCAATGTCAGCCAGTTCCCGGCCATTTCGTTTTTTTTTTTTGTTGTTTTTTTCGCTTCGCAAGACTTCTTCTTCAAAGACATAGTCCTCACCATGAGATCCCAGAAACGAGGCGATAGACCCTCCAGACGGCCCCGTGCCCACGACGACGACCTCGGTCTCAAAGTCCGGGCGGGACGCATCCCTGGCGTACGACCCATCGCTTCCCATGGCTGTAGCACGAAAATGTTTATCCCTTCCTTTCAAAACAAAAGTCGCACCTGGTGACTCGCAAAAGTGGCGCAGAGAACCTCCGAAAACATATCACTTTTATCCATGACCATCATGCGACGCATAGCTTTCCAGCCCCTCCCAAGACACCGGCCTGCACGCACAGGATACGAAGTTCCCTCTGCGAAGGGCCGCCGAGCGGGCTGGAACCGCGAATCCGGCAATAGCGTCGGTTTTTGGGGCGACACTTGGCCACGGCTTTGGTGAACGCCGTCGATGGGGTTTTTTGTGAGGGAGTCAGTGAGTGAGTGAGTGAGTAATCATGCAATTTATCATCCAAAGCCATCATCACTGAGATACTGATAACACTGACTGCACTGACTATACAGGTCACAATGACTTGTCTGGCGATCATCCGGTCGGTGTGAGTTTTGCCGTCTGTGGATCGTCATCAACACCTTTCCACCCACACTCCACCACACTCTATACAAGGATGTAATACGCTAGCCTGTCGCAACCTGGAGACACTACGCACCACATCGGTAATATACAGAAGAGAAAGAGAGCAGGCTGTTATTCTGGTTAGCGTGAAGTGGACTTATTTGATCCAATTTGAGAAGACATGAGCACAGAGACACTTGCACTGCTACTCGGCTGTGTTAGCAGGCGGGCTTAGTAGCATTGCCAGGTCTATAGAGGGATCAAGCCACCATCCCCCGTACAGGCATTCCAACGTGTTCTCAGAAGCTCCTAAAGCCATCTCCTCGTGCCCAGATGTGAAAGACATGCTCCGGCGTCTCCATTCTCAATGCTCTTCTCACTCAAAACCTTCAGGAGGAAATCCACAGATTCTTGCGTATTCAACGGCTTCGTATAAGACGGCTCGTACCTGTTAAACTTCAAGCCCTGCTCCATGCGCTTCTGCAGCTCTGGAACGCTCGCTGTAACTCCGCAATCAGCTTCTGGAAATACGACAGAATCGGGTGCAGAGAGAACAAACCAAGTTTATGCCACGGCCGCACGGGGTAAAGACTTTGTGACAAGTCCCCCTCGATGTCCTGGACTGGTGCGTTGGATCCGCGACCGTCGTCTTCCGAGTCAACAGCACCGGGACTCACCGCCATGAACAGAATGCCTTCGTTCTTGTACGAGGCGCTGAACTTGGCCATCACCATGTTCATGGCAGCTTTACTTATTGAGTAAGGCACAGCCATGTCCATGTCGAGTTCGTTGGTGAAGTCGACATCGCCCATGCCGCTTGTCAGTGCAATCACCTTCTTGACAGTCCCTTTTCGTATCAGGGGAATGAATGCCGCAGTTGCGTTGATTGTCCCAACCGCGTTGATGCTGAAGCATTCGTACAAGTCCTTGTCAAACACGTCGACCATGTCATAGCTGTGGTTAACATGTAAGTTCACAATTCACCCATCACCAGAGGGACCAAGCATACTAGTCTTCCAGAGTTCGAAAGGCCGTGGGCTTTGCTACCAAACCAGCGTTGTTTATGAAAACGTCCACGCCTTTTCCGCTGGTGATCTTTTCAGTTTCTTCGGCTGCTTTCTGGCTGTCATTAGTCCTGTGGTGCCTTCCTTCGCGCACAAGGCGAAATCCACACACTAGGAGAGCGCTCCGATCAGTAACGTCGGCTTCGATGACATGGACGTTTTTGATATTATGCTCCGTAAGTCTCGCTTCTGTCGCTTCCTTCGCAAGCACCAAAGAGACAATGACATTGGCCGGGTCCTCTGAGAGTTTACGCACAAACTCGTACTAATCGGCTGTCAGTTAATGAATTGAATTGAATTTTTGACATCAATACATACCCCTATGCCACGATCTGCACCGGTGACCACATAACAAGGCATCCTGCTTCGGAGCTGCCGTTGCACCTATACTGGATGATGAGGTGAACAACTTCGCAGTACGCCCGCAACGGTTAATCATGAAATATTGATTTCAAACCTCTCCATAATTCTTTTTCCAAAGACGCTATCTTCTCACTCAGAGGATCGGCACTTAATACTGCATGAGGGAGCGTGACGTGCATCAAGACAAGTGCTTCCGTCGTGTCGGTAACGCCAGAAACCGTAAACGGCATTTGAAAAGCCGATGGGCCCCATCCATGTCGCGATTGTCCGTTCTTTTGACCATAACCCTAAACCCGGATTCGTTAGCAAGTCGCTCAACATGGTTCTCAATCATTCCATATGTTCCTCCCACATGTTCCTTTTCCCAGGCAAGGTCATACGGTGGTCCAAATAAAACATCCGATACCACCTAAAAATCTCCATAAGCATACCTATAACCAAGACCTCGTTGCTCCGCTGACAAATTCATTGCGTTGGTTGTTGGATTTGTCGAGGACCAAAATGTACATATGTCGCTGAAAGCACTTTTTGTTCCAGCAATAATCCATATCCCCAGGTAAGCGCAATCTCGCCATTCAGCAAAATGCCGTCGTACGTTGTGACTGGAGCTAGTCGCGGAATTGGAGTAAGGAAGGCCTTGAGCTGCAACATCAACTCTCGACATGCTGACAAGGCACCAGTATGGCTTCATCCAATATCTCTCCCAGAATCCAGACAATATTGTGGTTGGTCTCGTCCGAGACAAGGTGGCGACAGACAAAAAGGTCCAACAAGATGGCTTGAAGAACGTCACAATTCTCCAGGCTGATATAACCGACCGTCAATCGCTGAATGCTGCTCGGGATGTTGTCAAGACCCTGACCGGCGGTTCCCTCGACTACCTGATCAACAATGCGGCATATGTGTCCCATCTTACCACCGGCAAATTTCTTGACGAGTTTGAGAATGACCCGGCGCCATTAGACGAGGACATAAAGACGGCCTTCGAAACCAATGTCGTCGGAGTCATCTACACAATCAATGCCTTCCTTCCCCTCATCAAAAAGGGCCGTGTCAAGAAAGTAGTAACATTGACCACGGGCATGGCCGACCTGGACTTTGTCAATGAGCTTGGGGTCTGGGAATCAGCTCCCTACAGTATGAGCAAAGCGGCAGTCAACATTGCTGTTGCCAAGTACAGTGCTCGATACAAGGAAGATGGGATCTTGTTCGTCTCCATCTCCCCCGGGGTGGTGGACACGGCGGCAGCCAAGGGTGAGTTGTTCTCCCAGCTTTTTTCGGTGGCTTTTACTGACTTCTGTCAAGCACCTGGTGTGGAAGGGCTCGTTCAGAAGTTTCTGAAGGCAGCGCCAAACTTTCCTGGCCCCATGACTCCACTTGAGTCAGTTGAGCAGGTGCTCAAGGTCGTGGATTCGAAGAGTGTTGAGAATGGTGATGGGGGTGCTTTCATGTCGCACCACGGGAACAAGAACTGGTTTTAAGACAATGTCAGCATCTGTGATAGCTTGGACTTAGATCAACCAGATCTCCTCGATAATCTGATAGTCCCTTAGGGAGTAGCCATTTCAGGGGTTTCTTCTCGCGAACTAGTAGCGATCACAATCAGGTTTTCTTGAAGGAAAATGTCCTGCATTCTTGAGCCCATCCAACATTCGGGTATCGCAATCGCATTTTGAGGGTTCCTGAAAAAGACCGGCCATGCTGGAAGCCCGAGGAGCATACCGGCAGAAGTCCATACTATCGGCCGCAGTTCATCTCGTCACACCCACGGCGAAATACAAGATCTGACAAAGTCCTTCCGATGTGTCGAATTCTGACGATCTTCATTGAACGCTAATTAAGACCCTGTAGCCCTGGCATTCGCCGACTGATAACGAAGAGTACTGGCGGGAGGTTGGGTGGATCAAGGCTTTGAAGGTTCGTCGCTGAATAAAGTCGGGGCTCTTCAAGACCGCAAACGGGGTTTCTCGCAACTCCGAAGTGCAGAAACGGCTACCGCGAACGCCGCGCATATCCCAAGCAATACCTTCATTTGTATACGCATAACGAAAGTCGAAGGTATATAGGAAGCTTGCTGTGACTTCCCTCATCACCACTTGAATCGGGTTCTGGAACTGTTGCGAGAAAGACTTCCCGAAGCGCAGGCGACATGGCGAAAGGACTCGGTCACCCAGAATTTCAGGCTTTCAGGCCATACGACTTCAAAGCCGCAAATGAAGACTATATGGAAAATGTCTTCTCGAAGCCGAACATGATCGTAGGGGCCAAATCTCGCGTTGGCATCATCACTTGTTGCGATGCCCGTAGCAGTCCCGATCAGTTTTTCCGCATGGGCGAAAACGAGGCCTTTGTGATTCGGAATGGAGGTGGAAGAACCGCAACCATGGATGTTCTTCGCACAATCGCCAGTATCGAAGTGCTGAGTGATATCAAAGAGTTGAAAGTTATCCATCACACAGGTATGTGTGCCCATTGGTACAGTCTAGATCATGGTTCGCTCATATCGACCCAGATTGCGGTGCTTTGTGGTGTTCCGATGACTTTATCCGGTCCATGATAATAAATAACGACCCAACCATGAAAGACGGGCCGTTCCTCGAGGGATCAAAACAATGGGCTGAGGCTTTGACCTACTATGCATTTTCGTGGAAAGAGGGGGAGACGGAAAGACAAGTGTTGGAACGAAGTGTAGTAGAAGATGTCCAATTTTTGAGAAGTCACCCCTTGATCAAGCCTTCAATTCCAATCACTGGTTGGATCTTCAATCAAGGCAACGGGGCTGTGGAAGAGGTGGACTGCGGGTTGGTGGACGGACGCGATCCTCGCCAAATTGAATTGCTCAAAGAGCAGCTGTCCAAGACACTGAACGGAGAGGCGAAAAACATCATTGCAGATATCGGCAAGACAGCCCACTGATGAATGGAGCAAGAGGCAGGAGACTGTTTGGGGATAGACCTGGCGCTCTGTCGTTTGGCCCTGTCGACGCTTCACCGACCTTGACGGATGCTTTCGCTCGCCCTCACAAGGAAACACTATGTCATGACGTTTCCTTGACTCGATGCAGAATATAATCGCGACATCTTATACCTCTTTCGTCGTCTGCACATTGTAAGCAATCGTCCCCGTTGTTGCGCGGAACCGGAAGACGACTCGGTTGGCGGATTCTTTAGCTGGGCAATTTCACTGTCAATAGGGATAACTATCAAAGCTTCTGGAGGTATGAAGCAACGACATCGCTGTTTAGTCGAGCGCAACTTTGAAGTAGATGTGGTTTCTATAAACATAAGCTCTGTCAGCCATCTTGGGGGAATTGCCTTGCTGTCTTCGGCATCCGCCCTTCGCATGACTACTGCTCTCTCCAGGACTCAGTGGGACGAAATTGCAGTGAGAAGGACGCGTCTGGCATGGTCACAACTCTTTGACATGTGGAATATTGTTACTAGATGGCATTAGGGCGATCGAAGACTGTGGCCCTTGAATTTAGAACCGTGAGAGCTCACTCGAAGTAAGCCAGTGGATGTCCGTGGAGGATCGCGGGACGTCACAACCCTGATATACATGGGGAGGGAGGAGTCGGTGGCGTTGAATTTGGTGCAACAAGGAGAGGTGAGTGGATGTTGGATGCTGCGCAGCAGTTGTGGGCGAGAGAATGAAAATGTCGTCGGTCAGACAAAATAATTTCGTCACAACAAAATCAGGGGCTTAAAAGCAGCCACGGAGCTTCACACGTCTCTTCTCTAAAGAGCCACAACACGTTTGATGGCCTTTGATTTCTACCAGACTTCACTCTAAGCGAGAGATGACCCTATATATCCTCACTGAGGAGATCTCCACCATGGGCATAATGGCCACGGCGAAAGTGCACAAGACACAAACAAACATGCTCTTGCTCTTCAGCCTCATTTCCCACATGAGGGTGAGAAAGGGTTGACATTGACTACAATGAAATGGCGCTACAAACCCACAGGAGGCAATGCAGAACACTACGCAGAAATGTGCCTCTATACATCATATTAAACAGAACAGTTTCACAGCAAGATTCGAAACACAAGAACGACAGAGGTGCCGCTTACAAACCGGTCCAATGCAGACAAGACTCACACTTCGTTCTCTCGGTTTGCTTATACCGCAAATTGGTTTCTGACCTTGTTTAGACAGCGATGAGTTGAGAATCGCCAGGTGACACACCCTCACATAATCTACGCTTGCTTCATATTCATCGTCCTTTCAGGCTGTTACAACTCTCCTTATGGAACAAACAACTCGTCTTTCTTTGACCTGTCAAGGCCGACAGAGACCTCCTTGCGCTGTCTCTTGGGACATCCTGCTCCAGGGATAGTACTTGCCTCTACACTCAAGTTCAGCCGACCAGAAAACTTTCAGAGCCTACCGATCTCTACTCAAATCCCGTTCATCTCGGTTTTTCCCAAAAACGACATGGAGCACCACAAGGAACAGGAAGCCGGGCGGCAGCGGATGAGGATTCTCTTTCAGCAGAGAGAACTGGATCGCGGCAGTCTCCAACACAAACGAATATTCAAGACCGCCGAGGAAGAGGCCAAGCAGGCCAGGCGATTCACCCCCAACGCACAGGCGAGGAGTCAGCGGGAGCTGACGGCAAGCCGTGGTCAACCTCCGGTGTTTGACGAGAACATCTGGAGTGGCGAGAGACGCAGACCAGCTCCCAATGAAATCCGTTCAGTCAGCCCTCGGACCCGTGTAGACAAAGATGGCGGACGTGCTGCGGGCAGCGATGCTGGTGGTGACGGGAAGAAAGGAACCGCCAGCGGCGACCAGGCTAGAACAGCGTCAGGGGCTTCTCACAACGGGGACAAGAACCCACACAATTCTGGCTCCACCGACAAAAAGATGTCCTCTTGAAAAACATTCATCTGCCCGGCAGGTGACGAACGGTAAACGCCTTCATTTCTTTTTGTGTCATTGACGGGAAACCAGTGACTAACTCTTGTCCGTCTGTGCAGCTTCTATTCATATCC